ATTTTTATTTATTTATTTATTTATTTATTTTGTTTGTTTGTTTGTTTGTTTATATGTTTGTTTGTTTGTTTGTTTCTTTGTTTTTTTTGTTTTAGTTTTTTATTTATTTTATTTATTTTTTTGTGCTGTTTTTGGTGTGGCTAAATAAGAATAAGAAGCAGAACACAAGTATTTTATTTTTTTATTTTATTTATTTTTATTTATTTATTTATTTATTTATTTTGTTTGTTTGTTTATCTATTTGTTTGTTTGTTTCTTTCTTTGTTTTTTTTTGTTTTAGTTTTTTATTTTATTTATTTATTTTTTTGTGCTGTTTTTGGTGTGGCTGCATAAGAATAAGAAGCAGAACACAAGTATTTTATTTTTTATTTTTTTATTTTATTTGTTTATTTATTTATTTATTTTGTTTGTTTGTTTGTTTATCTATTTGTTTGTTTGTTTGTTTCTTTGTTTTTTTTTGTTTTATTTTTTTATTTATTTTATTTATTTTATTTTTGCTGTTTTTGGCGTGGCTTGATAAGAACCAGAAGCAGAACACAAGTATTTTACTTTTTCCTTTTTTTTATTTCTTTCTCTCTTTCTTTGTTTATTTATTTTATTTTATTTATTTATATATTTAGTTTCTATTTTTTTTTTTATTTTTTTTTTTGTTTGCTGTAGGGTACGGCGTTGAGTGTAGGGGATCGGGTTACCGCCCTTCAGAGAAAAATTGCCGCAGAGTGCTGATACAGCTAGCTAGCTAGCTAGCTAGCTAGCCAGCTAGCTAAGTAGCTAGCTAGCTAGCCAGCTAGCTAGCGAGCTAGCTAAGTAGCTAGCTAGCTAGCTAGCTAAGTAGCTAGCTAGCTAGCTAGCTAGCTAAGTAGATAGCTAGCTAGCTAGCTAGCTAGCTAGCTAAGTAGATAGCTAGCTAGCTAGCTAGCTAGCTAGCTAAGTAGCTAGCTAGCTAGCTAGCTGAGTTGCTAGCTAGCTAGCTAGCTAGCCAGTCATAGTCACCAATCAGCCAGCTACGTAGCTAACTAAGTATCCAGCTAGTTAGCTAGCTAGCTAGCTAGCTAGCTAGCTGGCTAGCTAGCTAGCTGGCTAGCTAGCTGGCTGGCTAGGTTCTTCCTTAAGATATCTGCTCTAGCTGTTGATGCAGCTGCAGCAGCATATATATGTTGCAGCAACTGCCGCAGCAACAGTAGCTACGACAGCAGCAGCAGCAGCAGCTGCTGCAGCAACTGCTGCTGCTGCTGCTGCTGCAGCAGATTGTGTATCTCTGTGGGTGCTATCCTTATGCATCTGGTGTTAAGTATCGCCTACAAGCTCTACAGCTAGCTAGCTAGCTAGCTAGCTATTTAGCTAGCTAGCTAGCTGCCTGTTTTTCTATTCAGCTAGCTAGCTAGCTAGCTGGTTGTGCATCTCTTTACCTAGCTAGCTAGCTAGCTAGCTAGCTAGCTGGTGTGTGTGTGTGTTCTTGTGCGTGTCTAGCTAGCTGATGTATGTGTGGCTAGCTAGCTAAGCAGCTAGCTAGCTACCCAGCTAACATCTGCATAGCTAGCTAGCTAGCTAGCCGTTTTAAACTGAAGACAGAGCAGCACAGCTAGTTGTGCTGTTTGTATTGAATC